GCTCTGTTTATTCTGCCTGTTTTTCTTCTACACTTCCAGGGAGAGACCATGTTGATGTCAGCTGCAAAGGAAACACTCCACTTCTTTGCCTGTCCACTTCAGATGAGTTCTGGGAACTGCCGGGACTGGCTGGTGGCAGTCATCCAACTCCCAGATGAAGAACCAGAACGTGTCCTCGAGAGCCTTGCTCAGACGTCAGCTCCCTCCTGGCAGCTAATGCCATCCCTGAGGACATCAGCAGCAGAACTGCTTCCTCTGGCAGCAGCAAACAGCTTGGCAAGGGCTGACCCCTGCCCTCCCCCTCCGGGGTGCCCTGTGTGGGGGAAGCTGTCCAACATGAGGCTGCTGGCTGTGTTGGCACCATCGGGAGGCTTGCCCATGGCTATGGGGACAAAGACCTCATCCTTCCATTTTTTCATCTGGGACCTTGGAGTTACTTTAGACAAACAGGATCAGATAAGGGCTCCTGGACCATGTTTCCCATTGAGACCCAAGGCCCCTCAAATACCTTACAAGTAAGTTGTGTGTAGCCAGAGATCCTAGCAAACTCTCAGATTTCTGGATTTTCTGTCAAAACTTTTGTTTTATATATTTATTTATTATTTATAATTTGTTATAAGGTGTGTATAATCACAGGAGAGAGACAGAGAGAGAGGGAGAGAGAAAGTGAAAAAGCACCCCCCCCCCCCCCCGAGAGGATAGCCATGCAGCAATCCCTTCTCCATTTCTCTTCTCGGGATTTTGGACACACACTCACTTGTGCCTGGTGTGTTTTTCACGCAACTGGCCTGGGATTCGAACTGCACAATTGACCATGTGAGGTCCAGCCGTCTTAACCACCACACCACCTGCTGGTTCATCAAAACCTTTAAATACACAGTTTAGGCCTCAGTGTGGTATGGTTCTACTCCTCAATTAGCAGCAGCTTTAAGTGCAAAGCCTAGCTTTGCTAGACTTATCTTACATGATGTGACATGAAAGTTAATGCATGCAGGTCATTCTATAAGTGACCATATTCTAAAATATTAATAGATTTCAGTCATTTGATGAATAATTTTTTCAGGAGAGTCTCTTTTTCTTTTTTATGTAATGCTATTTGCTTTTCTTCTAAATCCTATATCAATGACTCCCAACCTGATATCCCAGGGTTTCTATGTGTCTTCCAGGGCACTGAGGGAAGTCTTAATGTCAACTTGAAATGAAGAGGTCTGATCAGAGCTTTCCAAGCAATTGATTCCAGGCAAAATTTGAGGCTGTGCACTCAGGAACAAAGATCCCAGTAATCTGTAGTGAATGCACCCAAATAGCAGAGTTTAGGGTCACCTTGTAGGAAAGAGAAGAAAGGAGGGGGAGAAAGAGGGCTACAAAGGCATTATCAAGAGTTTAGATGGGTGCAAACAAGTTAACAAGACGTCTTATAGGAAAAGGGATTGGGTAACTCAGGAAATGCAGCCAAATGCCATCCCTGGATCCATGCAGAAAGGGAAGTGTGACAACGCCGGTTGTAGCTCTAGAGTCTGTATATTCTCATAGCATACACACTGAGAGCTAGGGGGATGAGTAATTTGGAGGGATTTAACATGTACTGGGACACTTAGCAGGGTGGAAGTTTCAGAGAGAGGCAAGGCATGGCTGCAGCCCAGTTACCAGGCCTCTCAGTCAATAGAGCTTTTAGAAAATGGCAAGACAGGGACCAGCAGATGGTATGTTGGTTACGTGGCTGGACTCCCAGGTAGCTGACTGCGGTTTAAGTCCTGGACCTGGTGGCTTAAACTCCTGTGCGTGCGTGCGTGCCCATGGTTTCTCGCTTTCTGTCTCTGTCTCTCTCTTTCTGGTGAGTGCACGCACCCTATAGCAAAAACCTCTCCAAACAAAACAAAACAAAACAAAACAAAACAAAAAAAACACAAACAAACAAAAAAGAAAGTGTCAAAACCATCTTATTTTTAGTATTTCCTACAGAAATTATTCTTTCCTAATATGGGTGTATCTAGTAACTAAAATAAGCTATTTGCCTTCATGTTTTTTTCAGGAGAGTCTCTTTTTCTTTTTTATGTAATGCTATTTGCTTTTCTTCTAAATCCTATATCAATGACTCCCAACCTGATATCCCAGGGTTTCTATGTGTCTTCCAGGGCACTGAGGGAAGTCTTAATGTCAACTTGAAATGAAGAGGTCTGATCAGAGCTTTCCAAGCAATTGATTCCAGGCAAAATTTGAGGCTGTGCACTCAGGAACAAAGATCCCAGTAATCTGTAGTGAATGCACCCAAATAGCAGAGTTTAGGGTCACCTTGTAGGAAAGAGAAGAAAGGAGGGGGAGAAAGAGGGCTACAAAGGCATTATCAAGAGTTTAGATGGGTGCAAACAAGTTAACAAGACGTCTTATAGGAAAAGGGATTGGGTAACTCAGGAAATGCAGCCAAATGCCATCCCTGGATCCATGCAGAAAGGGAAGTGTGACAACGCCGGTTGTAGCTCTAGAGTCTGTATATTCTCATAGCATACACACTGAGAGCTAGGGGGATGAGTAATTTGGAGGGATTTAACATGTACTGGGACACTTAGCAGGGTGGAAGTTTCAGAGAGAGGCAAGGCATGGCTGCAGCCCAGTTACCAGGCCTCTCAGTCAATAGAGCTTTTAGAAAATGGCAAGACAGGGACCAGCAGATGGTATGTTGGTTACGTGGCTGGACTCCCAGGTAGCTGACTGCGGTTTAAGTCCTGGACCTGGTGGCTTAAACTCCTGTGCGTGCGTGCGTGCCCATGGTTTCTCGCTTTCTGTCTCTGTCTCTCTCTTTCTGGTGAGTGCACGCACCCTATAGCAAAAACCTCTCCAAACAAAACAAAACAAAACAAAACAAAACAAAAAAAACACAAACAAACAAAAAAGAAAGTGTCAAAACCATCTTATTTTTAGTATTTCCTACAGAAATTATTCTTTCCTAATATGGGTGTATCTAGTAACTAAAATAAGCTATTTGCCTTCATGTGAAATGATAAATGACCCAGGGGCATTTGTACAGATCAGAAGGCCTGAACAGCACTCTTTAGTGGAAAGACAGGAGTGTGTCATCTATTACCCGACGAATGAGCTTGGTTTGGAAAATGGGAACTTCTGCTACATGGACTTCTCATGGCTGATCAGAGGAGTGGGTCCTACTTTTGCATTGTCACCACTACCATATCTACTGTCCCTTTGACAGTTCACTGTGAAAAATGTCTTTGGCACTTATTTCAACAAACCACTGATTAGAGAGGCTGTCAAGGCCCAGAGCCTGAGAAGCCCATTTTTTTGTTCATGTGTGCTGTGGGGTGCATTAGCCATGAAGGCCTTAGATCATTCTGGGTTTCTAGGATCACATAATAAAAATTAACACCTTGCTTTATTCATGAACCAGGGCTATTACAACCGCAAATCCATGCTCAGCATCTCCCCTGAAGAATGTAGCCTAAGAGACCCTTACTGTGGGAATATGGGGGCCCTGAGGGGTCATCAGTTCTGCACGGAGAGAAGAATGTCTCTCCATCTGTGGTGACAGTGGCCTCTGCAGAGATGGGAGAATGCAGCCAATAGCCACGTCGTGTCACTTCCTCTCCCGTTCAATCATTAGAAGCCCTGTACCATGCAGAACTCCAGCAACGGTTCCGAGGGTGCTCAGTGCCAGGTTCTGCTGTAAATGCAGCGACTGCAGAGATGAAGGTCCCTATCACGTGTCTCAAGAAGTTTACAGATCTTGGGACCAGCAGTTAGCATTATGACTATGTCGCTGGACTCCCACGTAGTCCACCGCGGTTCTGTCTGGGACCCGGTGGCTTGAAATTCACGCCCAGCGCGTGTGCGTGAGTGCCCAAGATCCCGAGAGGAGAATGAAGGAGAAGGGATTGCGGCATGACCATCCACCCTGGGGGGGTGATTTCTCGCTTTCTCTCTGTCTCTGTCTGTCTGGCGAGCCCACGCGCTCTGTTGCAAAAACCTCTTAAAAAAAAAAAGTTTACAGATCTCTATCTGCCGAACTACAGGACGTGCATGGGATTCTGTCCAGGAGGAGGGAGTAGAAGGCGATGGGAGAAAGGTTGAAAGGAGGCATTAGAACCGGCCCAGTGAAGGACCAGGAGCAGGGGTGGCATTCTCGCTTTACTCAAAGCATTTAAGAGATGGAAGAGATAAGCTTCTGAGAGTGCTTCGACGAATCATTCCAATTCTGGTTTCTTTTTCCAAGGTGGCAGGTTTTATATTCTTTCCATGGGTTTCTCCTGTCTCCGATCACCTCGTTTTCTAACTGCGGTGGTTCCCAGAAAAGTATGGAAACAGCAACAGCAGAATCACCTGGGACTTGGGTAAAAGCGCAGATTCCTGGACCAGATCTGCTGAATCTGAAACTTGGACTTTCACAGATAAAAATCCACGGAAGAGCCCCACAGTTCTCACACACCCAGACATTTCTGGAGCGAATGTGGAGTCTGAGAACAATCGAGGTTGCTCTTCCATGCTCGGTCTTGGAGGGAGCTGCGCGAAGCTCCTGCTGTGGTCCCTGGTCCACGCTTCCGACACATTAGCACTCACCAGAGCAGTGGGTCACGTGGTCCCCTTGGGTGGCTCTGTAAGCCTCGTCCCCGCTCCATCAGAGACGGATTGTCACAGGTCCCTAACCCAGACTCATTAAGTTCCCCTCTCAAAGTGGATTTTCCCGCGGGGACTTAGTTAAGCAGCGGGGCGGGGGGCCGAGGGTGGCTCTAAGTTAACAATGGCCTCCTTATTATGCAAGTGCACGACCCGGCCTTTCGGGGCTCCTTCATCAAGGTACCCGGAACCAGCGGCCACGCCCCTCCCAGAGCGGGAGGGTGACCTTTTTCCAAGGGCTTCATGGTCAGGTGACCCTGGCGGGGCAGACGCGGAAGGACAGCGCTCTGAAGGCGGCGCTAGCGTGCAGAGCGCGCCGGGGCGGGCGCCGACATGTGGGCCCCGG